ACCATCTACTGTTGGGAATACTTAGCCTTTGTTCCACACCACCTATGTACACACACACAACTGAAAGTGTGCATTCCTTTTCATACACAAGCAGTGCAGTGCACTTATTCAACCCAACAACACTCTGTATCAGATCTACTCTGAAATCAGCAATGTAGTTTAGGGTGTCAGGTGATTTATCACAGAAATTTATATCTAACTAAACTCAGGGCACACCCGAGACACCAACAATAAGCTCATGCGAGGGCATGACCAGACAGTAGCCAGTAAGGAGCCTTTAAGGTGATTAAACACCAACCAACACAATCACCGCGTTCATGTTCGGACTAGAAAGCCAGAGAATGAGCAGGTGAGAGGTGGAGGTGAACAGGGCAACTCTGAGTTCTAAACTAGAAAGAGACTAAAAAAGGCACTATACAAGTGCAGTCCATTTAGTCTTGCAGGTAGTGAGAACTGAGAGTGGATCCGAGACCATCAACAGGCAGCACAGGTTCAAAACACAAAAGCCACCTTCACACAAGTAACATTAGAATTTTTTTTAAAAGCCCCAGTCAAAAATATGTTTTTATCTAAGTGCAGTTTGACACTAGAAGGATGTTTTTTGCTGAAAGTGGAAAGTTTCTCTGTGCTCATTGAACATCTGAATTTAAGGGGCGGGGCCTACCAGCAGGATTTGTGACATCACAAATAGTCTGGAAGTCAGTCCTGGTCCAGTATGCAACTTGTACAGTGTGAGGTAGAAACTATTTTGGTGCTGTTTAATCACTGCTGAACGTGCAATATATAAGTGCAATAAGAGCTCACAGTCAAAGAGCAGCTTTATTAGTCATGATTAAAGGCTCTACCTTGCAAGCCCTTTCAGGTGTTAATTAAATGAAAATGTTCCTGCCATATCTCCCCTTGCCTGTCACTGATCTTGCACCCACACTTTTAACTATAACATAAAACAACACTCGCATAGCTATATTGTTGGCAGCATGCCTCTTCGTTCTATTGAAGATCATCATTTCAGTTCCCCCGGGGGCGAAAAAAAAGGTGTTTGTAGACCTTGGCTAGCAGCCAACCTACACATCGCTAGCTGTTGTCCTGCAGTCTCTGTCTCTCTTTGGGTTACTTACACAAACACACTCTCTCTCAATGTACCTACCGGCTGGGGAGTGTTCAATTAAAACAGTTTACATTTGAACTGTTATTGTGTTATTGCTGCACATTGGCTATTTAGTTGTTCCTCCGATTGGCAGCATTTTTACATTGTGCTAGGAACAGGCATGGTTCTGAATGTTTCTCAATGTGTAGGACCCAACAGCAACTTTACACTGCCTCATCTGAATACCTCTCCAGCTCATGTTCTGTCCTTAGCAAGTTATATCACTTACTTTCTATTATGAATTCAACTCAATGACATTACAACTTTCTGCAAAGGTCCCACAATCATCGTTTACCATTCAGTAAATTAAGCCAATCTGTATTTCCATGAGCTACATATGAAGCCTTTATACTTGATGAATAAGCAAAATTGAAGTCAAGTGTTGATTGACAGGTTGACACTGACATATCATGGCATAATGCTCCTGTCATCATACTGTATCTTGTTAAAGCTGTCAAAGGAGGACACAAGAGTTGCCTCAGAGAGATTGTTATTTCAATGGTGGGTACAATTTGCACAACTATTTGAGATGATAGTCATTAAGTTATCTGAAATGCTTACGGGCAATCAGTGCCGTGGAGAACTTGCCTGCTTACAAAACAGATGGGCGGCCTATCGGGCTTAATTTTTCCCTAACTTGTGTAAGGAAACTGCATTTCCTGTTATTGATTTAACAATCTGTGAAGCAATTTGCATCAGCCATTTCCCTTCTGTATGTGTATCTGTATGTGTGTGTGGTAAATGGCAATGATTGCAGCTATTCAGACTGACATAAAAAGATTTTCAGATTGTGTAGACAAAAATAAGGTTCTCTTTCTTAACCTTGTCCTCTTCTACACAGAATATAACCGCTGTCAGAACAAAAGACATTTTGGGATTTTATGAAAATGATTGCATATTCCATTTATTTAATTTTTTATATTATATTATTATTATATTTTTTTCAAAGACACAAAAATGTCTTAGTTCAGAGATAAATCAACAACAGCAAACACATTCATCATCTTTGATCAAACAAATGATGCAGCAACATTTGTCTGCAAAACATTTTACTTTCATCATTCTTCTTCCCACATATAATTTATGGGTGTTGCTACTGAGTGCAACTGCAATGATTAGTCCATTATATACAACTATTTAATTAATCACCAAATATTTTTTCTTTAGTCCTCCATGACAGTTAACTGAATGTTTTTGGGTTGTGGACAAAACAAGACGTTTCAGGACGTGATCAACATTTTTCACAGTTTACACTAACTGATGATGTGTTTCATTCAAAGTCAAAGAGTCAAAGTCAGCTTTATTTGTCAAATATGCTATACATAACCCTATATATAAAAAAATCATTATAATGATGACAACTGACTTTTAGACATTAGTTCTTAAGTAAACAATGTACAAACATTGATTTGGGCATTTTCACATTACACTCTTATATAAAACAAAAGATAATCAAATCTCTATATCTACGTAGAATGATGGTTGCAGAGACTCTATTAGTCTGAGTATTAGCTTGACAATTCCTCAGAGACAGGAAGACAAGAGCCAAAGGGACGGACATGAAAAAGGGGCGTGGCAGTAATCAGTCCCTCTTGTCGGCGTGCTGCAGACAAGGCGCTGATTTATATCAGGGGACGTGATTATGAGCGTCTCAGCCTGCAGAGGCCCGGACAGAGGCTCACATATCAAAGACACACTGATAGGGCGCAAGGTGGGCGACGCCAGCGAGAAGCCCTGATCTATAGATTATCCAAGCACAGAGGCACACACACACACACACACACTAACCTGACCTCCGCGTTTGCTCACCTACTCAGACCGAATTGATGGTGAGATTACAACAGAACTGGAGCGTCTGAGGGCTGCCATCACATACAAAAACACAGCTGATATTTGAAGGATCATATCAGTGGGTTTGCACTGTAACACCTATTGCTGAGCTCACAACTCACACCACTGACCCAGCTACACCAGTTCATAGTGGAGCTGTTATTTTTGAATCAGTCCCTCCAAGAAGTTGCGATCCAGTCATTAAAACCTTCCCACAAATTTGACCAATCATTGCAGTTTCCCACAACTTTCACCAATCCTCCCAGTCCCCCGAGCAAGACATTGAGCCACCTGTCACCGCACCCACTACCGTCTCACATTTACCAACAAGAATTACTGCTGAAGAAAGTGTAAAGCAATTCCCTGACTAACAAAAGTGGAGGTAAACACACAATGCAATATTGTAGTAGAACGCAAACAACAGCCGAATCAACTTTTTTTACATCCAGATCGATTACAAGTGCTGAAAGAATGAAGGCGAGCTAGATTAAACATGTATGGTTAGTGCCAACGTCAGTGCCTTCTAATTAACCAAACAAAAAAATCTAACTAACGACAATTTCCACTTTCATTTATTCAGTGCAACTTCTTAGAAAAGTTGCCATAAAATGAGGCATTTTAGGCTGCAACAATCCCCCAAAAAGTCAGTGAAATCCTGGAGGGAATGGCAATTGTGTTTTCCCTGCCTTCCAGGAACCCAGTGGTTCCTAGTTCATTTCAGTACACCGTCATAATCAACTCACAAAGACTTCAAACTCATAATGATCAGAGCAAAGCATTAATGCAGTGGATGAGCCTGATGATGTGACAACGGCCCATATATTGGTGGATCTGCAGTTGATAGAGAGAAAAAGCAGCCACTAACCAGTCCCCCTCTGTCCCACATGGCCTGTTGTACCAACTGGGGTCTGAGCGACTCGTGGATCCTCTTAACCCTTCAGGTTAGAGTTGATCTCAGCAGCAGGGCGAGAGGCCAGGTCCTTGAGCTGATTAAAGCTAGACTAAGCCCACAAGGGCCATGGGAACGCGTACCTCCAAACACACACACGTCTGAATACAATTACAAGCAAAAAATAGCAAGTTCTTTACCGCGTTGAAGTGAGAACATCTAAAAAATAGGAAAAGCACCAATTAGGAGAACGTGCTTTTTCAGGTTCCACTTAACTTGAGCTCAGGGGAACAAATAGCACACCACTGTGTCAGCGCCGTGGTTGTTCTTCACCTGAAGCAAAACATTTGAAAACCGTTCATACTGGTTTAGACAGTGAATCTGAGCTGTACACTCCATTAATGCTGCTGCTTTAATCTGGTAGGAATGTGTGCAACAGTGTCAGAAATCTGCCTCCAAGCCGTAGGTGACCCACTGGTGTCAGCGAGAGGGGAGGTCCACACACACAAACACCAAACATCCAAGGGTAGTGATAATACAATGCTTGAGAGGAGGGGGTTATTAAGCTGCACTTGTCATGTAGCTTTTGTTGCTTAAGGCTCTCTAATAGCAAACATATATCTGTAGTGACTCATCCAGTGGCACTCAATAAAGGTAAAGGCTCATGAGGACAACACACAGCTGTATCAGGTGTTCAGGGCAGTAGCAGCCAATAATAAGATCTACAGGACAATCGCAACGACAGCCATATGCAAATCCAATGACATAGCCAACTCATAATGACTACACTAAAGTCTGTGGCTACCTTTATTTTGGCACAAGTCTCCGTGGAGTTTCCTCACCAACACTACAGAACCATGACAGCAAGTTAGCGGCCCAAAAGATAAATGAGCCTAGCTTAAAAAGTGCGAGGAGTCCTTTAAAACTCACCTGTCTGAGTGTCAGTAGGACTGTTACGGCGGTACCGTGAGGAGCAGGCAGTGAGGTTCATGCTCAGCAGCAGACACTCACTGCCCCTGGAGGAATAGCAGGGTAATAAAGACTGTAACGTTACAGCAGTGTTTCTGGCTTTCACTGAGGTTACTGAGCTCTTCACACAACTGTTAGCAAAGACATATAAGATGGAGAGCTCACCTGCTCAGTCGTTTCCCGCGACTCCTGCCTCTCTCAGTCAGCCACTCTCTCTCTTTCTCTCTCTCTTTCTCTCTCTCACACACACAAGCAACAGAAGTGTTTCTGTATTTTGATGAGAGTATCGATGACTTGCACACTGGTCACATCCCTGATC